GTTGCCAGAGATGGGGGTGGGGGGATGGGAGTGGAGGGAAATGACTGCTAATGGGTATGGGGTTTCATCTGGGGGTGATAAAAATGTTGTGCAGTTAGATGGTGATGTTGTGCAGTGGTGATGGCTGTACAGCTCTGTGAATGTACAATACACTGAATTGTATACTTTAAAAGGGTGAATTTTATGGTATGTGAATTATATCTCAATTTAAAAAACAAACAACTAGGGATTTTTGATGGCGAATGAGACACAGACCCTAACCCTCAGAGAACACAAAGTCCAGAGGGAGCAAGGCATAAGTGAATCAAATATTAAGTGTAATTTCATCTATAGGAAGTTCCACGAAGGAGAGACATGTAGTTCTATGAGAACATGTGATTGGGGAAGGGGCTTTGATCTAGTCTGGAGGTCAGGAGGGAATCTCCAAGGGTGGTGCGTGTGCTAAGATCTGAAGATAGCTTTCCGTGTCAGAATCAGTGGATTTATCAATACCCAGAAGGAGCAAACGGTACATGAAAGATCCTACAACAGGAGGATGCTTGAAAGAGACATTCGGGGAGCTGAACAAAGGCCAGTGTGGACAAAGCACATAGCATGAGGGAAGCAGCGACATTGTAGCTGGAATGGTAGACAGGGGCTGAATACCTTGGATTTTCTGAGACAATGAGGAATGCCCAATAATCTCAAGTAATCAAAAATGACCTCCCTTCTTCCTAACCGGCCCCATCTCCATTGTTCCTGGTGTCAGTAAAAGCACCATCCTCCACCCAGTCATGTAAGCCACAAAACTGGAGTTATCTCAGACTTCGCTCCCTGCCTCCCTCTCCACCTGCAATCTGCCAGTGAGCCTGTGGTTTCTGCCTTCTGAAAACCTCTCATCTCCAGCCACTGCTGTCCCCCAGGCCCAGATCACCATGTGCTGGGGTCTGGACTCTTGCAACCCTTCCAAGCTGTCCTTCCCAATCCCACCCCTGAACATGCCCCCTGAGTCTTGTGTCATCTGGGCCCACCCGCTGCTCTCAGCCTCCCTTTTAGCCTCTCTGCCCTTCATGTTTTCGCCGTGGTGACTTCCTTCACACCCATTTCCACTCCATGCTCTCTCCCACCTCAAGTTTCTTCCCAAACCTGGAACATTCCCCTGTGCTGGCCTAGCTAACTAACTCTTTAGATCTTGACTTAAGGGTCACTTCCTTTAAGGGCCTGACTTGCGATAACCTGCCTGTCTCCAGCAATAAATACTTTTGCTCTGTGACTTATAGAACCTCTGATTTTCCTTTTGATAAAACTCATCCTGATGTGTCTGCTGCTTTGACGAGTCAGTTCACAGGGACCTGTGCCCACCTTCCTTACCACTATCTGCCCACCACTGACACAGGACCCTCCACCCACCATGTCTCCTGCCTGGCAGATTCCTACCTTAGAATCTATCACTTTCTGGGTGTCAGCCTTCCCTAGACACCCAGACTAGGGGACACATTCCTTTGTACTGCTCCTTGAACATCTCTTATAACACCTACCACAACTGTGAAAGCAACTGGTTTTAATACCTGTCTCCAACACCACATTTTCTATCTTTTTCTTCTTTGCCCCAGCACATAAAACAGTGCTTGAGCTGGGCGCAGTGGCTCACGCCTGTAATCCTAGTACTCTGGGAGGCCGAGGTGGGCGGATTGGTCGAGGTCAGGAGTTCAAAACCAGCCTGAGCAAGAGCGAGACCCCATCTCTACTATAAATAGAAAGAAATTAATTGGCCAACTAATTATATAGAAAAAATTAGCCAGGCATGGTGGTGCATGCCTGTAGTCCCAGCTACTTGGGAGGCTGAGGCAGGAGGATCGCTTGAGCCCAGGAGTTTGAGGTTGCTGTGAGCTAGGCTGATGCCACAGCACTCACTCTAACCTGGGCGACAAAGTGAAACTCTGTCTCAAGAAAACAAAACAAAACAAAACAAAACAAAAAAACAACAGTGCTTGAACACAAGACTCCTCCCAGGTCAGCCCACAGAGATCTTATGAAAATCTCTAAACTTGGATGCAAACTTGGAGAAACAGTCCACAACTTTTGTCAGATTTTCAAAGGGGTGGAAGACCTAAAAGAGGTTAAGAACGTTTCCCCAAATCCTGAAGGATCTGTCTTCCTTTCCAAATAGCACTACCAACCCAGACTTCCATTAATACTTTTAGAAACTATGTCTCCCACCCAGAATATAAGTTCCTAGAGGGCAAGGATCTTTACCTATTTTGTTCATTGCTGTATCCAAAGTGCTTAGAATGGTGCCTGACACATTCTATGTGTAGGTGTAAAATGACCAAGCACCATTCCAGACATTTGCACAAGTTATGCAGACCATATGTGTATTGGTTATCTATTGCTATATAGCAAATTATCCTGAAACATAGTGACTTAAAACTGCATTTATTTTTCTAGTTTCTCTGGATCAGGAGAGAGGGTGCAGCTTAGCTGGGTCCTCTGCTTTGGGGTCTCTCATAAGGCTGCAAAGTGTCAGATAGAGCTGCAGTCATCTGAAAGCTCAACTGGGGAAGGATCTGCTTCCAAGCTCACTCATGTGGTAAGTGATTCAGTTTCTGCTGGCTGGAGGCTGCCCTCAGTTCCTTACCACCACATGGGCCTCTTCAAAGGTCAGCTCACAACATAGAAGCTGAATTTATCACAGTAAATAAGAAGAACAGCCGGGCGCAGTGGCTCACGCCTGTAATCCTAGCTCTCTGGGAGGCCGAGGCGGGCGGATTGCTCGAGGTCAGGAGTTCGAAACCAGCCTGAGCAAGAGCCAGACCCCGTCTCTACTATAAATAGAAAGAAATTAATTGGCCAACTAATATATGTATATAGAAAAAATTAGCCGGGCATGGTGGCATATGCCTCTGTAGTCCCAGCTACTCGGGAGGCTGAGATAGAAGGATTGCTTGAGCCCAGGAGTTTGAGGTTGCTGTGAGCTAGGCTGACGCCATGGCACTCACTCTAGCCTGGTCAACAAAGTGAGACTCTGTCTCAAAAAAAATAAATAAATAAATAAAAAATAAAAATAAAAAAAAAGTGGCCTCTGGCATCTAAGTTGGAATCCTGGCTCTCCCACTTGCATGCTGCATGACCTTAGGCAAGTTACTAGCTTTTGAGAGCCTCAGCTTCTTCACCTGTATCTTACCTGCCTTACAGGGTTGTTATAAGGATTAACTGAACTAACACATTTAAGGAACTTGGCGCAGAGCTTACTTAGCACACTGTAGCAACTCCATAAATGTGAGCTATTCTGACTCACATCCTTCCCTTCTCTCCTCACTGGCTCCCTGCCTCACCTCCCCTTAATCCATTATCTACTATCTACCACTGTCTCCCTAGCTGGCAGCTCGAGTAAGCCTCCCAAATGCAGACCTGTCATTGACACTGAAAGACATACATACATCTTTTGACAGTTTGCTGATGCACTTAGTAGGAGAAAGTCCAGACTCCTCACCACAGCTCACCAGGGCTTCTAGAAGCTGTGCCTGCCCAGCCTCCAAGCCTTTCTTCGCATCTCTCACTCGCTGCGCACCCCACACTCCAGCCACGCTGAGGCTCTCACTTCCTGAGTGCTCCACACTTTCTGCCACTTCAAGCCTTTGCAAGTGCTATTCCTTCCAGCTGGAACCTCTTCTCCCCACTCCTACCACTCGTTCTAGATGTTCCAGCTATGTGCTGTCTCAGAGAGAATCCTTGATGTTTCTTGCTAAATCTGAGGGCAGATACAATATCTATTTTTCTCACCACTCTTCTCTTCCAAGCGCGATGCTGGCAAATAGGTGAGAGATGAGTGTTTATGGAATTGCCCACAGCGGCGCTGACCGCGGGCAGACAGCGCCACCTGTTGACCCAAATTTGTACTTCAGTACCTAGAAAGCAGCATTATTGGTCTCCGCTTCACCCCTAATGGTTTTGAAGTTTGTCAGGGGTACATGAGGTTCTTCACCACACACCAAATTTTGCAATGAAGAGCTAACGTTATTGGTACTTAAGGCATGCCAGGCACTTTCCTAAGTGCTTTGGTTATTAGCACGTTTAATTTTCACAACCGCCCAATGAAGTGGGTACCTATGTTGCCATTTTATGGATGGGGTAGTTGAGGTGCAGAGCAGTTAAAGGCCTCACCCAAGATCACACAGCTAAAAAACTTCAGTCAAGACTCATACTCATGCAATCTGGCTTGAACCTGGACTCACTGCCAAAACTCACTGCCTCTATTCTGACTCTTTCACTGTCTCCAATGATCCATATAGTTATATCCCAGACACTTCCACCATGAAGGCGCACTTTGAAGGTACCGCTATCACAGTGGCATTGGTGTCAACCAAAATTGCACCTGGAGACCCACACATTCTGAAAGCTGCTGTCCTCTGAGGCCACTACTCAGATCGAAATTAGGCTTGGTCGTCTCCCCTCACAACACTTGACTAGCAAAAAACAAAAATATATATAAAAGAAAAAATGTAAATAAATAAAGGAAAAAAAAAATTAGGCTTGGTCGCTCCCCAGTGAGACAGTAAATGCAGCAGTCAGCCGTGGTCTCCGTGTTACTGCTCCACTTGTTTGACCTCCAGCAAACAACTCACTTCTTACATCCCAGCTACTTTCACCCTCTCCCCTACATCATTCCTTCCTATCATTTGTGGAAATGCCTGCTTGCCTCCACTCGAGTCCAAGTTGTTTTTAAAGTATTTACTGAGCACTTCCTATACCTCAGTCAATATGCTATACCTAGTAAAGCATTATAACATGCTTTACATATATTAACTCTAAATCTTCACAACAGCCCTATGACCGCCCCCACTTTACAGATGAGGAAGCTAAAGTACATAGAAGTGACATGATAAAGGCCACAGAAAGTGGCAGACCCAGGGTGCAAACCTTAGCATACTCTTAAACACTGGGTTAGACTCCCTCTGCTGGTAGAGGCTCTCTGTTTTCTTTATTCTCAAATGCCAAGCACACTGCTTTGCACACAGCACGTGTCAACAAACTTGTTTTAATATATATATATACACACATACACACACACATACACAGTCACATTCCAGTGTGACAAAAACACCTTCTTCAACCAGGAGAGAGCTCTCCCACACTCCGGGCTCCTGGAGACTCTAGAGAGAGCCTAGGCCTGGCAGTCTCCACAGATGACACGCAAGCAGGGCACTTTTATTAGAGTGGGAAGGAGCGGGGTTCGCCCCAGGGTGTATACTGTCTGGGGCCTCATGCGGGTCCGGAGCTCTGCTGCACCCTCTTCATCAGCTCCTCATCTTGCATAGACAATTCTGTCAACTTTTTGCCCATCCGCTCATGGATGTCCAGGTACTTGGAGACACATCGGTCCAGGCACACGGACTCGCCCTTGGACAGCTCTGCTTCCTTGTAGTGGGGAGGCACGCACTTCCGGTGGCAGGCACTGGTCATTCTGGAGGAAGTGAGGGGCAAGGTTGTGTTAGCAGCATCTTGTAACATCACATCTTGAACCCTCAACCATTCCAGCCCTACTATACTGATTTCATCTTCCTCAAGAAAGCAGTGTAAATCCTCAGTTTGCACCTCAATCATCTTGGAACATCTTTGTGAGTAGGAACATTGTTCCAGTCCATATATATGACTAATGAAATAGAAACCATTTGTTGAGTACTAGCTACCAGTATGTGCCAGGCATCATGTTAAGTGCTTTACCTGGATTCTGTTATGCAATTCTTACAACAACCCTATGAGATAGGCACACTCATTTTTCCCATTTTATAGATGTGGACATTAAGTCACAGAGAGGCTTAGTAATTTACTAAGGATCACACAAAGCTGGGCTATCAATCCAGGTAGTCTGACTTCATAGCCTATGTTTAAAAATCATTCTAATTTATAGCCTCCAAGATAAATCAACCAATCAAGAGAAATTAAACCAATAAAAATAGTAACCATTTGTTTACTATGTGTTAGCTTGATGCTAAGAGCATTTTCTTTTACATTTAGTATTTATGATGTCTCTATCATTATGTCCATTTTATAGATGAGGAAACCAATTGTCAAAGGGTCCAAGTAACTAAATATAATGATGGTTATTAGGGGACCCAGGATTTGTTCCCAAATTTGCTAAATGGTCATGAGTACTAGTTGTGGAATCAGACTGAGGTACTAGTCCTGACATTGTTACTGACCAGTGTGGACCCTGAGGAAGTCATTTAACCTTTCAAAGCCTTAATTTCCTCATCTTAAAATGGGACTAATAAAATTAACCCATTGGATTATTCTTAAGATTAAAAAAAGAACACGTGTAAAATGGTCAGCAAGTGCCTGACACAGGGTAAGGGTTTAATAAATGTTAACAGGCCGGGCGTGGCGGCTCACGCCTGTAATCCTAGCACTCTGGGAGGCTGAGGTGGGAGGATTGCTAGAGGTCAGGAGTTTGAAACCAGCCTGAGCAAGACCCTGTCTCTACCAAAAATAGAAAGAAATTAATTGACCAAGTAAAAATATATATACAAAAAATTAGCTGGGCATGGTGGTGCATGCCTGTGGTCCCAGCTACCTGGGAGGCTGAGGCAGTAGGATTGCTTGAGCCCAGGAAATTGAGGTTGCTGTGAGCTAGGCTGACGCCACGGCACTCACTCTAGCCTGCGCAACAAAGCAAGACTCTGTCTCTCAAAAAAGAAAGAAAGAAAGAAAGAAATAATAAATGTTAACTACTAAATGGGCTATGTGCTATTTGTCAAAAGGCAAATGCTCAACTGTTTTTGGGATCTAACCAGGGCCTGGATTGGAGCTTCTCTTCCTGCTTGGCTTTTTCAGCATCAGTTTCATCCCCATCTAAATGCCCAACTCATTCTAAGTGACCCTATACTGCACCTGCTTTAGTGTTCAACCACCGAGGTGGGTGTGGGGACGGTAAGCATGGGCCTCAGGCTCCCCTACATTCAGGAAGGAATTTGTTAGAAGTCATCCCCCTTTAGTAAGGGTGACCAAAGCTAATTTTCCAAAGACAGTCCAGCGCAGAGTAGGCTCTCCTTACCTGTTGTACATATCGGCCATCATCTCCACCTCCAGCTCCGCAGCCAGCTGTTGGGCCCTGAGGGGATCCATCTCAGCCTGGCACCGTGGAAGGGATCTCCTTCTGGCCTCCTAATCCTGGGAGCAGACATCACTGTCAGCACCAACCCCTCCAGGTCACTCTCCCATCCCAGAGGCTAGAGGATGCAGAAGAATCGTAGGGCGTCAGACCAGCAAGGGCCACTCAGTGAGCTAAACCACCCCATTTCACAGATGTGGAAACTGAAGCCCTAAGGGGAACACTGCCTAGCCCAAGGTCACGCAGGACGTCAACGGCGGGCCTGGAAATTGACCCCGGAGCCCCGATGCCCCAGTCCCTCGAGGTCACTTCTGTTCAAGAAATGATCGAGAGATCCGGGCAGAATACTCTCAACCGCGGGCCAGAAGCCCCAGGCTGTGGAAATAGATCGTACACTGAACCGAGGCGCCCGGGACCCGGCCCAAAGGCTGCACCTCTGAAATGGCGACACCATTTCATCAGGGTCACACTGAGGTCAGAGGTCACGGATCACTCACCACCGCTTGGGACAGGTCACAATGTCCAGGGCGACCCCAACTTCGCGCATATACTATAATCTACCCCTGTACCCAGGCCGGCTAGAGCGGAAGCACGTGGATCACTTCCGAGAGTAAAGTCCCTCCTCTTGTTTGATCCGGACTCGCTTCCGGAATGAAATACCAACAAGGCGGCGCTAGGATATCGGCGACCATAGAGAGGGAGCCGCCGGCCCCCGCCGACGGGAAGGCGGCGTTTAAATGCTAGAGGGGACGCCAGAATACCATAGAGGTGTGGGTGGGGTGCGGAGCGCCCGCAGCCTGATTAAAATTCAAGTCCCTTGGGTTGTCACGGAGAGGTTAGAGTTTATTGGTTCTGTAGGAAGGGGCGTGACGACGGAGATCCTTGAACCTCACCTCCGCGCGGAGGGCATACACCCGAGCACAAATCTGGCGTGCAGAAAGGAGAACGCCCTCCAAACAGCGGTCCTCAGTTTTCGTTGCACGTTAAAACCGGACGCTTTTGAAAATCTCGATGCTAAGGACTCGCCTGATACCAATTAAATCAGAATCTATTGACTTAAATCAGAGTAGGATTTGGAAGCAATAAAATTTAAAATTCCCCAGGTGATTCCTGTGTGCAGCCAAATTTGAGAACCAGTGCTGCGTGGGACGTTGTGCGATTACCGCTGTGTAGTCACACAAAGCCCCCTGTGGGTTTGCAACGATAAGCGGGAGACGGTTCCTGCTCAGAGGAAGTTGAGATACGTATAGAGTATGTTTTATTCACCTTCTGTTAGATGCCCTGAACCATAATGAGAGGAATAAGAACATTTTGGGATGCCACCAGAGCTAATCAGATGCGTTCCGGTGAGGGAGAAGGCAGTGCTGGTGAACTTTTCAACTTTCAAGACTTACTGTGTTCCTCGATTTGCACCATTCACCACTTCTTCACCAAAAAGAAACAACCTTCAATCCCTTGATTTTTCACAGAATTTCAAAGTAAAATAAACACGTAAATTAATGACACAAGGATACATTGCTTCTTGGAGAAGATGGCTAGACTTTTTTTTTTTTTTTTTTTGAGATGGGGTCTCCCTTCGTTACCCAGGCTGGAGTTCAGTGACACTATCACAGCTCCCTGCAACCTCAAACTCCTGGGTTCAAGATCCTCCTGCCTCAGCCTCCCAAGTAGCAGGGACTACAGGCACACCACTGGCTAATTTAAAAAAAAAAAAAAAATTTTTTTTTTTTTGGTAGAGACGTGGAGGTCCTATGTTGCCCAGGCTGGTCTGAAACTCTTGGCCTCAAATGACCCTCCCGCCTCGCCTTCTCAAAGCGCTGGGATTACCGGCGGCGTGAACCACTGGGCCCAACCTTAGGCGTTTGTATGGTCATCATGAGATTCCCTAATTGTCCAAGACAGTCCTGATTTTAAACAATTGGACTCATTACTGTTCTGTGGACTCATTTTTGTCAAATCCTGTGCTCTGATTTTTTAAGATTAAGGTATAACATTCTGTACAATAAAATGTGTAAAATACAAAAATCTTAAATATATATACATTCACATAATCACCACCTAGATCAAGATATAAAGTACTTCCTGTACTGCAAAAAGTTATGTCATGTTCTTTCCCAGTCAATACCTCCTCTCTTGAAGTTAACCACTATTCCGACTTCTATCACCATCAATTAGTTTTGCCTGTTCTTGAATTTCATGTAAATAGACTAATACATTATTTTATGTTTTGTGCCTGACTTCTTTAGTTCAAGATACTGTCTGTAAGATTTCTTCATATTGTGTGTATCTGTTATTCATTCTGTTTTATTTTCTAGTGTTTGTATGAGTATACCATAATTCATTCATTCATTCTCCTGTTGATGGACATTTGGTTTGTTTCTAGTTTGGGGATATTAGGAATAATGTTGCTATTATATTATTGTACAGATGTTTTCGCAGACATATCTTGCCCTGTTTTTTGCTTTTCAAAATATAGTCAACATATTATGGAACTGCATGGGAAAGGAGATGGGTCCTTATAAGAGGAATATACTTCCTAAATGGGACATTATGAAAGGTTACATACTATATAATTCCATTTAAATAACGTTCTCAAAATGACAAAATTATAGAGATGAAGAAAAGATTAGTGGTTGCCTGTGGTTAGGGTTGATGGAAGGGGTAGCACAAGAGAGGTCTTTGTGGTGATGCAATGATTCTGTTTCCTAAATGTGGTTGTAGTTACAAGGATCTACACATGGGATAAGATGTCATAGAACTATCCACACATTGTAGCAATGTCAGTTTCCTGGTTTTGATATTGTGTATATTTATATAAGATCTAACCTTTAGCAGAAGCTGGGTGAAGGGTATACAGGACCTCTCTGTACTATTTATGTGACTTTTCTATGAACCTATAATTATTTCAAAATAAAAAGTTTAAAAAGTTGCTACAAAGGAGAACAACTCAAAAGGGTTATGTAAGTAAAGCCCCTAATCCCTGGTATATGTTCAATAAAAAGAAATCATTGTTCTTGTTCTTTTTTATTTTTAGACTTTTATTAGGGCAAATTTAAAACATTCAGAAAGGTAAAAAGCATAGTATATTCAACTTCCATATAGCCATCACTAGGACTTAACAATTGTTAACGCATGGCTATATTTTCTTCATCCTACAGATAAAGACTTTTTTTCCCACAATGCCATTGTCTTTCTTTCAATTTTTTTTTTTTTTCTTTTTTAGGAACAGAGTCTAGTTCTGTTACCCAGGCTGGAGTACAATGGCTCTATTACAGCTCACTGGAACCTTGAACTCCTGGTCTCAAGTGAGCCTCCTGCCTCAGCTCCTAAATAGCTAGAACTACAGGCATGCGCCACCACACCCAGCTAATTTTAAATTTTTTTGTAGGGATGTGGTCTCATTATGTTACGCAGACTAGTCTGGAACTCCCAGCCTCAAGCAGTCCTCTCATCTCAGCCTCCCAAAGTGCCGTGATTATAGGTGTAAGCCACTGCTCCCGGCCCACATGCCATTTTGATACCCTCAAAATTACAGTAATTTCTTAAATTAATCTAATGCACATATCCAATTTTCCCCAGTATTTAAAAAATGTCCTTTTTTTTTACTGTGGTAAGAAAACTTAACATGAGATCTACTTGCTTAACAAATTTTTAAGTGCACAATACAGTATTGTTAACTATATGCACCATAATGTAAAACAGATCTCTAGAACTTATTCATCTTGCATAACTGAAACTTTATACCTATTGAACATTAACTCCCCATCTCCCTCTCCCTTCAGCCCCTGGAAAGTCATTGTTCTTATTGATGATGATGTTATTATTATCTACCATGAGATCATGTCTTTCTCCTACAGTTGGGCATTTGGAGACCTGCAGGTAGGAATCTCTAATTGTCCATGTTGAGTTGCTTCTTGTAAAAGACAGCTTAGAGAGCCTTAGCCATTGAAGATGTCACTGGACTCCAGATATGTCATCTAAAACTGTGGATCTCTGTCAGCACCATGTTGAAACTCTAGCCCCTCACTCTACTCTGCGCTCTATACCTTGCAAGCCTCACACAGGGGAGTTGTGTCTTTGTCGCTACCCATGGGTCAGTATTGTCCTCTTGGATGCCACTGTAGCTCCAGACAAAGGGATGCAGGATCTCTTCATATGGGCCCTGACCACTCATGGGAGGTGCAGAGAATACAATGACAGGTGTCTCCCCAGACTCCCTGCGACCAGCGGGAGATGAGAGAACAAGGCTTGAGTCCTTCTATTAGCTTGAAGAGAAAGCTGACCCAGGCTTAATGACTGTCTCCACTATTCCTGTTCCTCACCACTTCTCACCTCCACTGCTGACATTCCGGTCCTAGCCACCACCACCTTGCACGTGGATTAGTCTTTTTTTTTTTTTTTTTTTTTTTTAAAAATACTTTACTGGTGGAAATTGGCTGAGACTAAAAGAAAAATAAATTTGTAATTTAAAAAATGCTTTAGTAAGCCGGGGTCTCACTATTGTCCAAGTGGCGTCCTGGGCTCATGCGACCCTCCCTCAGTTCCCACTGGCGGGGACCCCAAGCAGGCCACTGCCTGGAAGGCTCGGCAGGGTGTGGCCCGCAGGGCAGAAACCGAGGAAACCCAGGCCAGAGCTGCCGTGAGCAGCGTGTGTGGACAGCGGGCTCTGGAGGAAGGAGGGTTAGTGAATCCTAAATGCAGTTGTGGCTCCTGGAAGATGAGACGCCTTCCTCAAACAGCGGTGGATTAGTCTTTTGAACGCTCTCTCTCTTTTTTTTTTTTTGGCTCTCCATTTTTGTCTCCCTCCATTTCACCAACTAATACTTTGTCTCCCAATTATCTGAAGCTTTAATAACAACCAGCACCTACTCACTTGCTTGCTCATGTTGATAAGGGAAACCCCCATCTATTACTTGGCACATCAACCACCTGAGACCCCCACCCCTCACGGAAGACCTGCATCAACATAATACTAACCTATTACCTGGCGGGCATTAGCCACCTGATACCCTACCCCTCGGACAACCCCAACTTAATAAAATGGGGAAAATCGAGTAGATGGGGCTCAGAATTTGGTGGCAAGACCCCTCTGAGGCCACCAGAGAACAAACTTTGATTCTCCAACTCTCCGTGTGCCACTCTGTTTGTCCTCGGGACCCCCTGCTGTAACACCTGCTGTAACAATGTCTGTGTTCTAAATCACATACATGTACACGTTACACTTTTCTCACAACCCTGAGAAGGTGCTATATCGCTCCCTATTTTACCGAGCCACAGAGATGTTAGGTATCTAGTAAGTGGCAGGTGAAGAATTCAAATCTAAAAATTTGGATTCTACCTCCTCCTTTCTCCATTTTTCTCAAGATGTGCCACCATCTCCAGTTTTCTTGGGTTCTCCCCATTTGACTGTCTCTGTCTTTATCCGTCCATGTCTTGCTTCTCCATTTTATACAGTTCTGAACTGTATAAAATGGAGAAGCAAGACACGGTTGTTGGTGTGTCCCCCAGTCAACCTCACATTTGACTTCCAATAAACCTTTATCAATTTATTTATTTATTTATTTATTTTTGAGACAGAGTCTCGTTTTGT